TTTATTGTAAAATAAAAAACCTAAAAAACAATGTTAATTAACAAATATATTTTTTTAAGTTTTTAAAATTTCTATTTTTGTATATATATCATTAATTAAATACAAATTTTTATAAATTAAACAAATTATTTTATATGTTTATTGATAAAAATAAATATTTAAAAGATTTATATTATAAAAATTTATTATTGTAAAATTAAAAATTATTAATTATATTATAAAATTATTATAAAATATATTTATACAATAAAATGAATTACAATATGTTTGATATGAATAATTTAATTAAATATTTTCTCTGTTGCACATCAATAAATACAATGGAGATACTTGTATGTATATGAATTTTATATTTTTTAAATAATTTCTTAAGTAATTAAATAATTTTAAAATATTACATATAGCTTCAATCTTCTCAAGAAAGTATCGATTATTTGCTTAATTTAGAAAAACAAGAGGAAATTTTGAAAAATACAGTAAATAGTGATTTAATTAAAAAATATCCAATAAAACAATCTTATCAAAGAGCATTTTTAAAATGGCTTATGAATAAGGTAATTAAATTAATATTTGTAAAAAAAAAAATTAAAATCAAAATATACTTTTTTATTATAGATTGAAGAGAAAGATGGTGAAATTTGTGATATTATGTATATTACATACTGTAATTTAATATCTTCCACAATCAAAGAATCTATTCATTATCGACACTTTTTAATAGAAAATGATTGTGTTAGTATAAAAGAAAGCACAAATATTATATCAGAAGGCACAACAGGATTATATAGTTGGCAGGTAATAATTATATATATATTTATTATAAAATATTGATATTTATATCATGTGGATGATTTTTATATTTCTGAATTATAATATCATTTATGATTTATAGGGAGCTATAGAATTAAGTAAATGGTGCATGAAAAATAAAAATAAATTCTATGGAAAAATTGTTTTAGAACTAGGTTGTGGAGTTGGATTAACAGGATTGTGTATTATTAAAAAATGTTTTCCTAAACAATATATATTTACAGATTATCATAAAATTGTTCTTGAAATGGTTTCTGAAAATATTAAATTTAATTTATTGAATAATGAAAACAAAATACAACCAGAATTAAAATATGATAGATTGAAATTACAATTAAAATATAATTATACAGATGTAAAAGTAATGGAATTAAAATGGGAAGATATTAATAAATATGTGAATGAACAATGGACTGTACCTGATATAATAATTGGAGCTGATATTTTATATGATGCCAAATCATTTTATGAATTAATATTAGGATTAAAAAAATTATTATCTTTTGTTATGGATGGATATGCTATTATTGCAGCAACAATTCGTAATGAAAATACTGTTTCACAATTTCTTTATCAGTTAGGTATATCTTTTAATAATTCATAAAACTATTTTTCAATAAATCATACTAAAAATTAATTTTTTTTCAGAACATCACAATCTTTCTTTTGAAGAATATAATGTATCGCAGCAAACAGTGCATGTACAATTAACAAATTTACCTATTAAAATATTAAAAATTTTTTGGAAAAAATGATGATAATTTTGATTAATATTATTTTTATAGATATTATTAACTATAAGATAACTATAAGTATAAAGAAATTAAAGCTCCATTCTAAAAATTATTATATATTCTAAAATAATTATATATTAATACATTAAAATTTTGAAAAATTTTAAAATAAATATTTAAAAATATATATATATAAATTAGTAGAAAAAATATTTTTATAATAATTTTAATTTTGTTATGATTTGTGTTTATATATAGTTTAAATTTTAATTTTGGCAAAGTATATTTGTTTTTAATAAACTTTTCTTGAAATAAATTTTTATTTTTATCTTTTATTTATTTTATTTCATTCAAATTAAAAATAATAATATAAATTATTGCAATTTAAAATTTTCAAAAATTTCATAATAAATACTATTAGTTGTATAATATAACATGATGTAACATAGTATATTCAAGTTTTATTACAAGTATAACATATTATGTTTAACTTGAAATAAAAGTAATGTATATTTTTATCAGTATATTTAACAATATACTTAAATTAACAATATACTTATATTAAATAATATGTATTAATAAATTATTTTTTTATTTAAAGTATTACATAATATTATTTATTATTTTATAATATATCAATAAATTTAAAATAAAAAATATTGAATTCTTTAAATAAAATAATTAATGAAACCAATTTATATAAAAGATTAATATTATATTTTTTGTTATAGTATTTCATAAATATTTAGATGTAATAAAAAATTTTTGATGTATAATAATTAAATGTCAATTACTTTGGTCAAGTCTTGAAGGTTTTAAATGTAACCTTTGAATTACATATTCAGGCATGCAGTATGTTGGATTAATTTTTTTTAAAGGATAATCAGTATTTAAAAGAGAAAGCGCAGTTAAACCAAAAAGAGTATGAAAAGGATCGGCAATATCGCCTGGACGATCACTAAATCCTCCTGATTCTGTATCTTGACATGCTAATACAAATTTTACCTGTAAATTAATATTAAATCAAAAATATAAAATATAAAAATATAATGAAAATATAATGAAACTTGCCTTAGATTGTTAATTACATAATCATATGATATATAATGATTTCTAATAATGTATAACATAATATTAAGCTTTTTCAATTTAATTTTTTGTCAATTAAAAAATTTAATTATTAAAAAAAAAAGATTTCAATATAAAAAATTTTATATAATCCCAATTTGTATCATGTTCTCTAACATTATAAATAAAATAATTATTCATTTTCAGCACTATAAAAACTGCATATAATTTTTAATGATAAATAATTATTGAATATTATTTTGTTTTTTTTTAATTTAACTCTAAAAATAACTGAAAATAACTAATGAAAAAATAATCAAATGATAAAATGCTCTTTCAATAATTTGCTAATCTATTTTTTAAAATAATATATATAAAAGAAATATATACCAATTGTTCTTTATTAACCCAATGAAGGCGTCCTAAAATTGTAAGTGCAGAAAGAACCCACCAAGAATAGCAAACATCAGGCAATTTTTCTGGTCTACCATTTAAACCTCCAGATGGAAGTTGTCTTTCACAAAGCCACCAACTTAATTGATCTGCATCTATTAAATGAAGATTACCTGGAAATATTTAATATCTTTATGTTATTGATTGTCCATTAAGAATTCAATGAATTGCATTTTATTGTATTAAATTTTATTGTAATATTTAGAAAAAAAAAATCAAAATAAAAAAAAAAATTACCAGTTATTGATAAAAGTCCTATGGAGCAATAAATCATACCAGCATGACTTTCAGCTCCAGGCTTTGATCCAAAACCACCATCAAAATTCATACATTTCATTACAAATTCAACTGCCTTATTAATATCTATTGCATCCAATCGATTCTAAAATAATATTTTTAAAATCTATTTTAAAATAATTAACAAAATATTTCATTTAATATAAAATTTTTTTTATACACATATATTTTTTATATATTTATATTTATGCACATATAAATATTTAAAAAGTTTTACTTGCCAAAAGAGATAATGTTGCCACAGCACAAAAAGAAAATCTCATATCAACTTCACCCCAAATGTCACCAGTAAAACTTCCATCTGGTTGTTGTCTTTCTTTTACATATTTTATAACTTTTTCTATATCAATAGTGTCTAATGCATCATATATACATAATATTTGAACTGCACTCAAAGTATAAAGAATATGCGGATCATGTTGTAAACTAGCAGCTATGCCACCACTTTCTGTTTGACATTGAGCAATAAATTCCAATACTTCATTTCGATTTGTTTGTTCCAATTTACCCATAAGATCCAATGCTGTTAAACCCCAATACATTCCAGACATTCTCATATGTTCTGTCATACAATACATCTAAAATTTAATAATATCTCTATTAATTATATAATAAGTTCAATTTTAGTATATATGTGCAATTAATTTTTATATTATATTTTATATACAAAATATATAAAATATAAATAAATTGTTATATAATAGAATTTTGTTCATATAAATTTCATTTAATAATTGATAATAACAATATTTAAAATAAAAATTATTATTAAATATCTATGAAAAAACTTTTAAAATAAATATAATACTTACATATTCATCCTTATCAGTACCATAAGAAAGTAAAAAGTTTGCATGCTTTTCCAATAATAATTCAGGAACTGAAGTTGGAAGTTCAATATCATGTTTTAACACTGGCTAAAATACAAATTAAAAATTATTATATAAATAATAATAAATATTAAAATATTTATAATTTGATTCTATAATAAACCAATTAAAAATTATATAATTATATTTTATCCACAATCCATTGAGAAATATACAAATAATGTACAAATAAATTTATAATATAATAATATAATAATATCTAAAAAGAAAAATTAACTTTTAAATTTTTTAACCTAATAAATATTAATCTGTATTAAAGTATTTTTCTACTTACCATATTAAAAAGTGATTAAAAAATTTGAATAAATTATTATATTTTATCAACTTTCATTCGTTTAAATAAATTTGTAAAAACTCTTTGAACTCATTATTTTTTTGATAAAAAATATTCATATGTTACCCATCATTTGTTCACCTAACCTCAAAATTAAAAAACTATATTAGATTAACGTCCTTTGTCATGAAGACAGAAAGGCGCGAATTTTTAAAAAAATAAAAAAGTAAAGGAAAAGGAAATAGATAATCATTATAAAATTTTGTGTAACAATAATATTAAATTTATAATTATTATTAAAAAGAAAAGAAAAAAAGAAAAAAGAAAAGAAAAAAAAAGAAAAAAAGTTTATTCCTATGTAAATACTTATTATTTATTTTTAACTTAAATCAGAAGCATAAAATAACTTCTCATTTTGAATAGAGATGATTGGAATACAGATATATTTAATTTTTTATATTTAATAGTTTTTGTAAAAAACGGTATTTATTCAATATTTTAATTATTTTTTTTCCAAATTTTTTATATTCAGGAACTCCAATGTTCACTAAAACAGACAAAATACTATATTTTAATAATATTATTATATCAATTTATAATAATTATAGTAAAATTATTTTATTTTTTGAATAATATTAATATAATATAAAATAATTTAATGAAATTGTCAAATTTATTCATTTAAATTTGTTTAAATATAATTTAAATTTCTTATACATTTAAATAATATTATTTAATTTGAAATTCTAATATATTCTTTTTTATAATTTTTTTTTTTAATTTTGATTTTCTTCTTTTAATTTTACCTAAATTAATATTCAGCTGGATATAAATTCATCATCTTCATGATCAGAATTCATACTCTTGACATCTTCATCATTCTGCTGTTCTTGATCATCTTGATCATATTGAACTGCTTCATCCTCTTGATTTGACATTTGTTCCCAATCTTCATCGGATTCACTTTCTAAATCCTCATCTTCAATTCCACCATCTTCGTCTGATGAATCTAACAAAATAAATTTTAAATAAATATTATAAGATAAAAATAATTCTTTAATTTATAAATTGCATTTTTTAAAAAATTAAAATATTATTAATAAATCTGATATAAATCTAAAAATTTAAAAAAAATAGCAATTACAATAAAATAAAATTTTATTATGAACCTGAATCTTGATAAACGAGACAATTTTCGGTAACATCTTTATCGTGTTCTTCCATTGTTTGAGAAATTTGACCAGTGACAAGAGAAACTCGACCTTTAAGTTTTGAGAGTTCTGTCAAAAGAGCTAGTTTAGCATCTATTGAACTTAAAATTGGTCCAAATAATTCCACAAGATCTGCTTGTGATAATAAATGTCCTGCATGTGTCGTTAACAATGCTTCCAACCATCGCACAGCAATTTTACTCCTATAATATAATGATTAAGTAGAAAAAGATATAATTTATAAGATAGCCATTAATAGGATGAATATAGTAAAACGGGAATTAACAATTTATTACAATAAATCGAATTCAATTTATTACTTATTTCATATGCTGCAACATTTTCTAATCAATAAGAAATTTCTTTGATCAATAAACGCGAGTTACTAAAGATTCATACCTTAAATCTGTTCTACTTCCGAATCCGAGCCGCGTATTTAGAGTATTAATAATTATTATAATAATATAATTTTGTTTCACTTTACAATCTTGATTCGACGAAAAATATATTTGACCAAGTTCCAATTTTATACTAATGCTCGTAGTCAACGCGAATTCTTCAGTTAATATAGTTTTTACAATTTTATGGAGAAAAGTATAAAAAATAATTTATGAATTCACTGTAAGATGTGAAGAAAATATCGATTGCATTTATTTATATAGGTTTTTATTTTTTTAAAATAATTTTTAAAAAAATTAAAAACTGATTTTATCATTTACACAATATTATTAAAAAATATAACTTAAGATTTCCTTCCAAAATAAATAATAATAATAACAATAATATTATTTTTAATCATAATTAACTTTTTTTGTGCAAATGAATGTTAATTTTTCTGTCCATGGATTAAACAAAAAATGATTAAAATGTTCTATTAATTCACGATTATTTTGATATAAATCGAAGAAATTTTATTATATCATTTTGATTTATTAAACAAAACATTGGATAAAAATTTTGAAATGAGAAAGTGATTATATTTTTTTTTCTGAAAATTCAAAAATATATTTTCAAATATTCGTATATAATTCCACAATTTTGTTAAAATGAAATAAAATGATAAAATATAATATTATGTTAATTTCATAAGAAATACGTTTTCTTTTGTAAATGATTTTTTTAAATGTGCGTTTGCAATTAAGGGATTAAGTATAATAAAAAAAAAGAAATAATTAACATTTGAAAAATCTTACGTGTAAGTTTTACCCTGGAGAAGGATAGTGAGTTCTTTAAGAAGTGGTCCAATTGCTTGTATTGGTAGTTTAGCAATAGTATTCTTAATAATGGACTCATTCTTTGTGAGCAAAATATTACTCAAAATACTTTTATCTTTACTGTTCAAGCCTTGTATTAGAAGTTGTGTCCTGTTGTTACCTGTACTAATAGTTTTGCCTATAGAACTGCTTTCAGCACTTAAACTTAAGTTTTCCAATCTGTCTTTCAATAACAATTGAGATCCTGAACTGTTTTTACTCTTCTTTTGCGTAGTTTCTATTATTCCTAAAAAAAAAACCAATTTAGAAAAAAACATTATACAGAAAGAAAATAATACATCTTTAATCTATTGATTTATATATTGAATAATCTATTTGATTTATATATTGAAAATTTAAATAAATATAAAATATTTTAAAAGATAAAAATAAATTTTACATTATATTTTAATAACAATTAAATATTTAAAAAAAAATACCTGGTGGAAGATATTCAACATTGTCTTCGATTATAGTTGATTTCATTTTAGAAATTTCTTCTTTTTTTTCTTTATTTCTTTTATATTCTGAACGCACTAAATACTGCACTTTATCAGAAAAATCTGGTATTACTTTTTCAAATGTAGGATTAAGATATGTTCCATATGCTAATAATAATTTCTGATCATCTGTTAACATTGCATTTAAAATAGAAATTTGTTGTACTTCATCTTTTTGACTTATATCAGAAGCAACCGCAATATTTAAACTGGGCTTTAAAGGTTTTGATCGACCATTTGGTTGATATTGAAATAACTGTGCTTGTCCAGATCTTGTTACAACTAAAACCATCACTTGAGAATTTGCTGAGACATTTGCAGAAACACTTATTGGATCATCTTGTAAGGCTAAACTTGCTACAGAAGTTCTTTCATTTCTTTGCTGAAAATATTTTCTTAATTAATGAAATATAATTACATATTTGATTTATTAATTTTTAAATATATTAATATTGAAAAATGTATAATATTCTACAAAATATATAAATATATAAATAAATATATAAATTTATAATAAAAAATATTAAAAATAAAATTTTATTTAAAAAAATATTATTTATAATTTCATAATTTATTTTTTCATGAAAAATCATTTTAGTTATTAATAATAATCATTTTAATCATTTTAAAAACATTTTGAAATAAATAATTTTATATCATTAACATTCTAAAAATTCTTAAAGAAATTCTTAAAAAAGAATATATTGTTTCATTATATGATTATTTATTCAATCATTAAAAAATTGCTTGTAGAAAAATGAAACATTTTTTTTATTGTTTTATGAATGCTTCATTCATTTTTTGCAATTATCTGTAAAATACTTGTAACTTGAATATCTTGTAAGATATTTCAAAACACAATAAAACAATAATCATATAGGATCAAACGCAATATTATATGAATATTATAATAAATATAAATTATAAAATTAATAAAAATTTTAAGATAAAAAGAAAAAAAAATATCTTACTTCATCTAATGCCCAAACACTGAGGTAACCATCACCATAAGCACCACTAATAACATAATTATTTCCAGATGTCATTTTTATAGTATGAAGACATGTCACTTGATTAGCATGACCCGTAAATATTCTTATTAACTGCTTAGTATTTAAATCCCACCATTTGACAACTCTTTCTCCTGATAATAAATTATTTCCATCTGTTGATACTGCTAATGATGTAGTTTTTCCTTTTCCTGATTTCCATTTACATTTTACACCATTTTCTTGAAGATTCCATTGAATAATATGATGATCATCTGATGCAGTAATAAACCCAACATTTTCAGACCATGTTGCTGCAGTAACTGAACCAGAATGGCCATCTAATTGTGCAGTAACCGAGGAAGTTGTTGTATCATAAAGTGTAATTTTTCCATTTGTTGAACCCATAGCAATAATACCCTTTTGAATGGATTCTTCTGAAATTGATTTTCTTCTCCTTTTTTTCCATGGTGAAGGCTAAAAATTATTAAAATATTCAATCTCTATATTTATATAATATTTATTAATTAAATTTAATAGAATAGCGAATAAAAATTATAACCTCAAATACGATTTTATTAAAATAAACATGATTTAATAGTAAATGTGATTAAAAAGAACGAATTCATGAAATAAAATATATTTGTATTTTAAAAATATTTTTAAAAATCTAATTATAGTATCTCTAATACTATAAAATTTATAAAAAATTATAAAAAGCATGGAAAACATAACCTATAAAGAAAGAATACAAAGTATGATTAATTAAAGAATATAAACATTCATAATGAGCAATGAGACTTAAAAAATAGTTCATAAAAGAATTTTTATTTTATCATAATACATAAGATGAATATGTAATAAAATAAAAAAATTTAACATTAATAAAGATAAGAAATAAAGAAGCACATGGTTTACCGATGTATTTGTGGTACGAGAACTAATGTAAAGCCACTCCAAAATACAACATGGAGAAGAAAGATGAAAATTGGATACATATTCTTGTTTTAAACGACCAGTATTAGTATCCCAAATTTTTAATTTTCCATCATTTCCACAATGTGCAAAATATTCACCATCAGAAGAAAAAGCGTAATTAGCGGTAGTCGCCATTTTTGAACTATTAGTATTGCAAAATGAAGTGAGCTATAGAAATTTTCCTCTTCTTAAACAACTTCAATCTATACTAAAAACTCTAATATTTAAAAATCC